AAAAAAAAAAAAAAAAAAAAAAAAAAAAAAAAAAAAAAAAAAAAAAAAAAAAAAAAAAAAAAAAAAAAGAAATAGCTTTAATTGCAACATATGTTTCATGAAGTTCATTAAGAATTAAATTGAAGTCTTGCTTTTCTTTTAGGTAGTATTCTCACTTTAAACTTTTCCTATTGTTGAGGTTTCTAGAGGAAGAAAGCATAATAAAATAGGGAATTTTAAAGTAATTTTTTGTTGTTATTTGCAGGCATTTAGATCATCACAAACTGTGGGATCCCAATGAATTTGCAGTTCACTGCTTTAAAATTATAATGTATTCCATTCAGGTAAGGTTTGATTATTTACTATATTTATATAAGTAATTTTGGTTCTTTATAGATAAGCACATTATCTAACAGATGTGGAGAGCTATAGGATGTAAATCATTGCTCTTAATTTAGCTCTTTTGTCTCATTAATTTTCTTTTGCTACTTATTTTCTTATTTGCGAAGATGAAAAATAGATCTAATCAAAAGAACTAAATAATTCTATCATGGTTCCCTTCAGCACCAAGACCAACACAGACAAACTTCTTGACAGTCTCCTGTTGTTTTTTAGGGGTTCTGAATTGACACAGGGATTTCTGATCTGATAGCCTACCTTTCCTGTATGAGCCCTAAGCTTTGTATCTGGTCTCCATGTATACAACTGTCTAAATGAGTAGCTCTGGGCACTGAAGAGCTGAAGATTTGCCTGGAACTGCTGCTGGCCTCAGTGTGCACTCACCTTTCCAGGTGCTTGCCTTTTTGTGGAATTCAGATTAAGGGACTTTCCTTTCCTGCCACTTTATCTGGATATCAGAAAGTCTTATATATAGCTGACCTTTGAATAACCCAAGTTTCAACTGTGCAGGTTCACTTATAGTGTAGTTTTTTTTTTTTTTTTTTTTTAACAAAAGAAGGGAGATAAAAAATCTATTATTTGTTGAATTCAAAACCCCAAGTATATGGGGAGCTGATTTTTTCCATGCAAGGCCAACTGCAGAGGTGGATTTCGGGCCTTGTTTTTGGTACCATTGACTTGAGTATGTGCGATTTTGGTATGGAGTGGGGCTGAAGCCCATCCCCAAGTATATCAAGGGAAAGCTTTAGTCTAGTATTGTACTATTGTTTTATGACAGGGCTTGGCAATTTGGGAAAACATGTGTAATATTTCTGGAAATGGTAGTACATACCAGAATAGGAATTTCTGTTTAATACTATCATTGTACAATTAAAACTTTGGATAGTTTTGATTGTTTTAATTGCCATTTGCATAAAATTGGTATAAAGTACTTAGAAGAGTGCCTGCTTCTGGTCACTTCTGAATGAAATGCTCTTTTGTCATTACTGTTACGTTCAATGTTATAGTCATATATTAGCTCAGGAGTCACCAATTGAAAAGTGGTAATAATAACTAATGCATATTGAGCCTTTTTCATACAATAGATACAATTTGGGTGCTTTATATAAATTAACTGCTTTAATTGCCCCAAGAATCCTATGAATAATTTTTATTATTTAAATATTATAGATGAGGGAAACTGAGTTACAGGGAGATTAAATAATTTCTCTCTTAATCTGAGAGCTATTTAGCTATTAAATCGTAGGGCCAGAATTCGAAATTGGGCTAGTTTGACTACAGGGCTTATGTATTTAATCACCACTGTATTATGTTGCTTCGTAAAGTGATTCATCTGTTAACATTGCCTTAAATATCAGTGTAAGGGCAAATTTTGCCATAAGTAAATGAAACCTTAGCACACGTGACTTCAATATACTGTGTAACATCTTCTCACTTTCCTTCCTTTCACTCCATATTCTTGTAACACATGATATCATTATTGAGTTGTTCTTCATAAGCAGAATGAACACATACCCTGGTTTGCGTAGTATAGTCATACGTTATGTGTAATTATTAACAATACTTCCTTCACTCTCTGTGGTGTCCTCATTTGGACAGTAAATCAAATGGCTACCTTACCTATAAAGGCAGACTAATAATTGCACAAGTTCACATATCAGAAGCACGCAGCTTCCTGAGCAAGAAGTTAAGTTTCAGGTTGTGTGTATGTGTCTTCCTGCCTAACATTCTTCTATTTTAACATAGCTTTGAATGAAACAATGTAAAGATGAAAACACAAACTTAGTTTTTATTTTGGGTGGTTTTAAAAGTAGATGTGTGTTATGACAAAAATTTGAGAAATACCTAGAGATGAAATCTGTTTCTTGATAGAGAAGAAGGGGAATTTTTGCTTTTCAGCAGAGTAGCCATTATGCATAGGGCACCTCTTTCTTATCAAACCACACATTCCAAAGTAAAGAAAGGTAACCTACCTAAAAACAGGGCAGAGGTGGCCTGTCTGAAGACAAGTACAGACAGGGAGATTCAGAGCCACAGATGCTCTTGACAACTTCATGCAGGATAGTAGACCAGTCGTGACTCATGGGCATTTAAGTGTAGGTTTAAAAAACAAACAAACAAACAAAAAAACCTTGCTACTCTTCAAAAAAAAACGTATTCACAAGTTAAAAATAAACATTTTTCTGGCTATGCTTTTTTTGTTTTAGGTGCTAACATTCACTATAGTTGATCAAATTTGTTTATATGTAATAAAATTGCCTTTGTTACTTGCACATCTTTTGATATCTCCTTGATTTAAATTTTGTCAGCTACACATTGATAATATTTTCATTTTGACAGTAGCTCTTGATTAGATGAGTCTTTTGACTGTTTAGCATTGTTAGGTGTCCATATTAAATAGTATTTAGCTTGGGTAAGGGAAAAGTACTGTGAATGTCATAATTTATGTTTTTTACAAATTTTTGATCTGTTATAAAATTATAAGTATATAAATGACCTTTGTGAAATTACGGGAAAATGTAAAGGTAATAAAAATTTCTCATAAATTGCTTCCTCAGAGGTGGCCAGTGTTAATCCTTGTATACATAATTCTAATTTACTTTTTAAAAACTATTTTGAATTTTATTAAACAAAGTATTGTACAATATGCTTCTTTTCACTCAGAGTATCATAAATATCTTCCAGCATCTCTGTTTATTCTTCAAAAGAATGACTTTGTATTGTGGCTATATATTGTCTCATAATATGACTACCATTCCCTAATTGGACATTTATGTGTCAGGTGTTTTTTTTTTTGATTCTTATGAATTCTGCCAAGGTGCATGTGCTTGTTCATACATCTTTGTACTGTTTTGTCTCCTTTAGGCTCAGTATTCTCACCATGTGATTCAGGAGATTCTAGGACACCTTGATGCTCGTAAAAAAGATGCTCCCCGGGTTCGGGCAGGTATTATTCAGGTTCTGTTAGAGGCTGTCGCCATTGCTGCTAAAGGTTCCATAGGTGAGTGCCAATAAATAAAATAAAATAGTACATTAATCTAGTTCAAAGTATTCTTTCAGTAGTTATAACAGTGTATGCAAAACTCCTTAAGAATATTTCTACACCATTTTAGATGTACTATAAGTTTTTCTTGAAATTTGGGTTCATGCAATTATTTTCAGGCTTCTTTAGTGCACAGTTAAGTATTTTCCTCCCCGTCAATTCCTCCTCCCTTTTCTTCTTCTAATAAAGGTTTTTGAGTATGGATTACATACTGAACATTGGGAGAATGCAGATACAAGAAACTCATAGTGTACTTACGGTTAGACAGCTCCACGTAATACTGCAATATGTGACCGGCTTTGATAACATAGCGTAAAAAAGCCAGGGTTTAGAGAAGGGAGGGAAAATGGATTAGCACGAGCAAAATTCATGTGGCCCATTTTGGGTAGGATGTATAGTGCTAGTTTAGAAGTCAGAGAGCTGGCTTTAAAATTAGGTCATAACCAAATTGTGGACATCGTTCTTTAGCTGATTAATAGTCCTTAAAGATTTACTCTAATCTTCATGAGAAATGTGCTATAGGATAATTTTTCTGGCAGCAAAATAGGCACATTAGAAATAACAAGTTCCTGCCGTTGTTGTGTGCATGAGGGAAAGAACTTGCCCTTGCATGGGAGCAGTAGGAATGACAATGTCAAGTTGACAGGATTTGATCATGGGGTAATGATAAGAGGAGATAGTTCAAAAATTACAATATTTTACCTACATGTAACTACGAAAATGGAATAGTCTGTATTAGAAGTACAGAAGTTTGAAGGGAAATCTGGTTATGGTTTCTTTGCTTGAAAATCAAAGTAGAAATATATTATCTAATAAAATAGTCATCCCTCAGTATCTGCAGGGGATTGGTTTGAGAACCCTTGAGAATACCTAACTCTGTGGGTGCTCAAGTCCCGTATATAAAATGGCGTAGTGTTTACATATAACCAATGCACACCCTCCCGTATACTTCACATCATCTTTAGATTACTTAAAATACCTAATGCAGTGTAAATGCTATGTGAATAGTTGTTATACTGTATTGCTTTTTTATTTGTGTTATTTTTTTTATCCTGGGTCCCCCCCCCTGTATATTTTCAACCCATAGTTAGTTGAACCTGTGAATCTAGAATTGCAGATATGGAGGACCAACTGTATTCTTTTGTTCTTTTCTTGTCAAATAAAGGTGGGCATTTTGGATATGAATTTTCGATTTTATCTTGTAACTTATCTCAAGGAGTTAAAACAGGTTATTTAATTGGAAAGTTATTTAATTGGAAACATGAAATGAAACAATATGATACATTGAATCGTCACATTGATTAATGTCCACTAACTACTAAGTGTGTTAGGTACTATGTGCTAGGCTCTATATATTTGAAGAGGCATTTAAACATGACTACCTTTCCTAAAGAAACTTGAATCAAGAGTAAAAGGCAGAAATGAAACCCTCTAATTAAAATAAGGTAGACAGAAGCAGTGAGAGAAACACATGCAGAAAATTTATAGAACAAAATGCAGAAAACAAATGCACAGTTAACCTGAATCTAATAAATTCGGTAGTTTGTCTCAATTGAAGCATATATCTCCCTTCTTCAGTCTCAAAAGATGCAAAATAAATATTTGATGCTTCTGTGAGCTATATTATATGATTTTGTGGATTTGTACCCAGCAAGTAAGTTAAATATTGTCCTAGTACACATTATTGTGACCAGATAAGAATAAATAGGCAGAAAGTTTTTGGTAATTCTTATATGCATGTACACATTTTGTAAGGGTGGAATCAGAGATTCAAACGGCAAGTTGCTCATAAATGCCCAGTAAAATTTGTTGGTATAATAAAGGGGCTTGCTTAATTATTTCTTACTTACTCTTTTTTTAAAAAATGAAATAGTTTATAAATTATGGACTTTTGACTACTTAGAAAATTACAAAAAAAATCTGTGGAGAAATAAGATAATTGACTTTGAATATGCAATACTAGAAACATGTATTTTCTCACATAAGTGATCCTTTATAGGTCCAACAGTGCTGGAAGTCTTCAATACCCTTTTGAAGCATCTGCGTCTCAGTGTTGAATTTGAAGCAGATGATTTACAGGGGGGATCTGTAGGCAGTGCCAACTTAAACACAAGTTCCAAAGACAATGATGAGAAGATTGTACAGAATGCTATCATCCAAACAATAGGTGAGTGCATTTCACTTTTCAAAACTATCATGTAAAGCAATGATTTAAAAAGCTCTCACATAAGGTCCTGGACTATTGCATTTGTCAAAGATGAATCATAGCTTAAACTTCTGAAAACTTTATTTTCTGAAAATAAGCAAGCATGAGAATGTAAGAACACTATGTTGTCCCATTAAATCTGCAGAACACAAATTCATCTATTATTAACATTTTATGCCATTTACTTTTTCATTTGCTTTTACTCTTTCCTGCATCTCTTTCTCCCTTCTTTCTCTTCCTGTTTCTTTATGTGTGTATGTCTTTGTGTGTGTATGTATATGTAAGAATAAACACAAACACATGTATTTTTTTTATAAACCACAAGATACAGAAAGTTGCACACATCATGGCCTTTTACCACTAAATACTTCAATGTATTTTTCCAAAGAATAAATGTATGTTTTAATATAACCCAAGTAAAATTGTCAACATCACTAAATTTAATATTGATCCAGTACTTGAATCAGCCTTTCATATTTCAGTTTTATTAGGTGACCCAGTAATGTCCTATACTGACTTTTTTCCTTGGGTCCAAGATTCAGTCTAGGATCATATATTGAGTTTAGTTGTAATATTTCTTTAGGTCCATTAGGGAGGAATGTTTCCATTATGACATGGACATTTCTTATGAGTAAAGTCCCCCTCCCACTTTTTTTAAAATAGAAAGTACCTTATTTGGTTTTGTTTGGTGTTTCCTTGTGATTAAATTCAAGTTAAATATTCCTGGCTAGAATACTACATATGTGATATGTTATTCTCAGATTAGCACATTCAAAGGTACACGCTGTAACTTATCCTTCAAGTATAAGCAACATTATACTTGGTTAGTGACTGTAGTTAGATGCTGCAGTAAAGACAAGTGCAGACTACTTTATGTCCTTGTGGTAATAACTAATTTGTTTGGGACAGAAAGTCAGTGTCCACTTTTGTGCAAGACTAGGAATGTATCTAGTTGGGTGCTTGAAAAGCTAAAGTAGCTTGTATGGAAGAAGTATGGAATAATAATAGCCTAGACTTTGGAAATAAATAACCCTTACCTCAAGCCCTAATGTTAGCTCTCTAATTTTTTGGTAAGAGTTCTTCTCTTAATGTCATTTCTACAAGAGGAAACTGAGACAAAAAATAGAACCTAGACTCATAAGGTTGTTTTGAGGATCCAAGTACAAAATAGTTTCTTATTCCATAAATATGTATTCGGCAAGTGTTAACTAGAATAATGTACTTTATGGAGATGGAGCCATGTTAAAGTTATGAGATTTTTGACTGCTAAAGTACATGATTGTTGGAAATGACTTTTACCCCTAGGTCCAATCGAAATAATGACTAGAACAGTTTGAGTTTGTATAAACAGACCATTAGCTCCAGTAATAGAAGCTGAACAGTTACATTGAAAAGTCAGCTTATTCTTAAAAAATACTAAAAATGCAGAAAGTTTCTGTAATGACTGCACTGAACTTTAAGAAACGAACATAACAGCCATGATTTGATAGTGTGTTCCAATCCTTCTAAGAAATAAAAAACTTTTAAAGTGTTAGTAAATGATAATTAAATTTTATAAATCTTTTGTGACCAGGAAGTAAGTATCAGAAGCTACAGCAGATAAATTTAAAATATTCTCAGAAACTAGACTGGATAAGAAAAATGACAAGTTATTTACTTATTTTTTACATCAGTTGAATTACGTATGTTGAATTTACAGGGGTAATCTATAAACTTGGCTTACTATAATGACACTCAAATATTTGAGCAATCCTGGAAAACCAGAATAGTGACCTAATTATTGACTTCTTTACTAGACAACGTGTAGCTAAAGTACCAGAACAATAATTTAGGCAAAATGTATGAACCATAGTTTCATCAGAAATACTACCAAAGTATTTTCCCCTTTTTAAAACTCCAGTCAACTCAAGTCAGTGCTGATTTGTCACTGTTATAACTATGTAAAAAAGACTTTGATATATTTATTATTTTATCTATCAGTCCATTATACTACACAGCTTATATGGTACATAACTAAATGATTTTGGACACATGAAACTGTAATATCCTTTAATGTTACATGCAGCTTAAAGACTTGCCAGTGATTGTTTTACCACATTTTGAAAGCTTTGGCTAAAAATAATTTTGTATTATATGGAAAAGTAGACTTTTTCAGTTTCTAAAATTTATCCTAATACTCCCATAGGATTTTTTGGAAGTAACCTGCCAGATTATCAGAGGTCAGAAATCATGATGTTCATTATGGGGAAAGTACCTGTTTTTGGAACATCTACCCATACTTTGGATATCAGTCAACTAGGGTATGTTTTCAGACTGCAAATTTGAACTTAATCTTGGGTTACATTTTATCCTAAAGAAATCCAGAAAATGTTAAAAGTTTTGTTTTTTAAAATCAGTAATAAAATTCCTATGGAAAGCAGTTAGTATTATTATGACAGTAGATTGCTAAGCAATTGAATCAGCATTTTTATGCCTTTAGAATTATTTTCACCTTATAAATTCTCAGAGTTTCCATCTTTAAAAATTGTATTTGTTTGGCCTGGACGTTGTGTGTGTGCATACATATTTAGGGTGAAGCTTCAAGTTTTCTGTATAAATTTTAAAAATTAATATGTCAGGAATATTGGCTTATTACTAGAAATTTAGAACTGAAAGTGATAAAGATTATGTGCCCTGACCCCCTTATTTTATACATTTAATTTGATTTTATAACATGCTAAAATTTTTGTTTGTGAATGTTTTTGTTTTGTTAATTTAATAAGGAAGTAATAGTATCTTATTCAGCTTACATTTCTTTGACCATTTATTTTTTTAAAATTGTTCTTTCCTGTTTATTCATATTTGTTAAAGAGAGATACTCATCAATTATGTTTATAGTAATTATTTTCTCTCATTTAAGGTGTCTTAATTTGGGTTGTTTAGTTGTCTGTGTATATGATTTAATTTTCTTGTCATCACACACATAGGACTATTTGAGAGCCAATAACACATTTTTTGTTTATATATTTAATTTTTTTAATTCACATGAAATTTACTTTGACATGTAAAGTGAGCCGTGACTTAAATTGTTATAAAAAATGAAGCCTACTTAGCTAGTAAGAATAGAATTTTAAAATCCAATAATTGAAGTAAATGAAGTAATATAAATGCTAATTAGTATAATAATTCCAGCCTTTTGTATATTTTAGGGATTTGGGAACCAGGAGGATTCAGATAATGTTGTTGAGATCTTTGCTTATGGTAAGGCATTTAAGACAAATAAAGGAAATACTTAACCTTAAATTACTGAAAAGAGTAATTGAATAGCTTTCTTTTCTTAATTAAGTTACTGTTTATGGTTAATATTTTATTATGTTCTTCATTTTAAAATTAGCCTATATTTTTTACTGATTGTTCCTCATTTTTCCTGTCATTTAGTTTGATCATCATAATGATGAAACATAGAGAGGGCAGAAACTATTGCTGTCTTGTAGATGAAAATATCTGGGCTCAGAGACTGTGAGTGGAAGGAGTTGATGAGGTCCACCAAAGTCGCTGGGTGAAAAAATAGAACTCAGACTTGAAATCCAAAGCTCTTTCAACATATGCTATTTCTCTCTCATACTTACCAAACAATCACTTCTGATTGGAAAAAATAATTTATTAAAATTAATAGTTGCCATTTAAAATTTGAAGTGGCTATAAATAGCTGAAAAGAAAAGGTAAACCCAGAATGAAAGGTCCTCTGGTATTTTCTAGTAATTGTACTCATATTTGATTCAAGTGCTCCTAGCATATATGTGTCCTTTTCAAATCAGTATCTTTCAGATTTATCCTAGAAATGTTTACATGATCTCATTTTTTTAAATGGGCTATCTCAGACCTAAGTGCAGAAATACCTTGTGTGGTTTTATTTTTAATTCTGTTTAATTCTGTTTATGGTGCTTGTCATATAGAAGTTTTGAATTCTAACATAGCCAAATTTATGAGCTTTTTTTTCTGTGTGTTTTGTACTTTTCATTTGTATCTTATATAAGAACTCTATGCCTCCTCTGATGATATAAACACATTTGTTTATATTTTCTTACAGCAGTTTTAAAATTTTAGCCCTCTACATTTAGAATTTTAATCTGAAGTTTATGTTTATATGTGGTATGAAGCATAGATTTTCCTGGATGAGTTGACATTTGTCCCACCAGCTTCCCAGCTGACTTATAAAACTACCTCCATCCTGTAATAAATACCCAAATATAAATGTTAAATATTTCATGTATATTTATAATCCTGGAAATATGTTGAAATCTTCCACCTGTAATTTAATTTTATCATTTAAGCCTTTATTTATATTAAACAAATTCCCTAAATAAATTATTTTGTCTTGCCATCCTGATTATACCACATAGTCAACTGAATGAATATCTATATGATATGCTTAAAATGTTTAATAGCATTTAAGTATATTCTCTTTAAAAGTTTTAAATTTTGAAGATACTGATATACTTGTAAATGTCAAATCAAGTAACTAACAAAGTACAGCTTTCCAAAATGAAAATGTGTTCCTATTAACTAACTGCTTAATTTAACATGAAAGAATAATTTACAAACTTAAATTTAAAATTTGCAGGACTTACTTTTAATTTGCCACTTAAGTTCCTTATATCTGTTTTGTACTAACCTTAACCTCTCTGAGCCTCAGTTTCTCCTTATAAATGGAGATTCACTAGTATCTACCTTACAGAGGATGGTGAGGACAAAGTTAATACATATGCAGTGCTTAGAATCATGCCTAGCACATGGTAAATGTATGCTACTATTAACTTTATTCTCCTTATGAATGATGTTTTTGTAAATTCAGTATAACCTTCATTACTTTGCACATTTCCTTTATGTACTTTCTTCAGGCTTCTGTCCATACTTTCTTTCCTAAGTTTATGGTACTTATAAAACAATATGAGAATTTTACAAAAAAAAGGACTTATGACAAAAGGTTATTTTCTTCCCAATAATCAGGTAACCTCTGGATACAAAGCAAAGACGATTGTTACTGCATTGCCGGGGTCTTTCCTGGATCCTTTGTTATCACCATCTCTCATGGAAGACTATGAACTGAGACAGTTGGTCTTGGAAGTAATGCATAATCTCATGGATCGCCATGATAATAGGGCAAAGCTTCGAGGTATCAGGTAATATGCCATTTTGAAATGGCTCTAATAATAGTGTTTTTATATTGGTAAATTTGTATATTTAAGTATTGTGATTTTAACAAATTTAGCATGTTTAGGTTTTATTAACCCAGAGTTTTATTTAATTGGTATTGAGATAATTTAATCATTAATATATATTAAGATAGCAAATGTTTGGAGGTCATATATGTACTCTTCAGAAGCAATTCAATAGGCATTACATACAGGCTTATCAAACTCCTAAGTATAAATATAATTTTCCATGTAAGATGTAATATTGTAAATAAATGTGCTATTCATTAAAAATGATATGTTGGTTGTCTCTAGAATAATACCAGATGTAGCCGACCTAAAGATAAAAAGAGAAAAAATCTGTAGACAAGACACAAGCTTCATGAAAAAGGTAAGACATCTTCTAAAATAAATAAATAAATGCCTAGTGTAAATTACAACCATTTGAATTGTTAGGTGGTTTCATATTGATCTGTAACCTTGAAATGAAGCCATATAATTTTGAATTTGAAAGACCTCAAGGTGCCATCCTCAGCCTCTCTCAAGTATAACATTCCTGGCACTGTCTCCTCCAGCCTGTGTTTAAACATTGTATTGTTGGACTGCTGTAGCAGTTCTAAATTTCTTCTCTGACTAAAATGTCTTCCTGTAATTTTTGCCCTGGCAATCCACTCCCACCAAAACACACATACTGATTCCTCTTTTAGTGGCTCTTTTATAGACAGCTTCAGGTTTCTGAAAATAGCTATCACTATCAAATAAATTAACTATGCTGAATATTTACTGTGTATTAGGCATTGTTTTCTACACTGTTTGGGATATAAAGATGAGTTGGGTAGGATCTCTGCCCCTGATAGTGGTTCTAGCTGGATTTTCATGATGTTAATTTAAATTCTGTAGGTCTACTGGAAAATGACTGAAATCAGAAAATTAAATTTATGGTTATTTGCATATTGAGTAAACTTTTCTGTGCAGTTATTATTAGTCCAAAGCTTGGGAATGTAGTATTTGCCAGACACTGAGTCAGCATTGGAAGATACAATAACCATGACACTACCAACTGCCCTAATAGGGAATACAGTATTGCGGGCTAAGGGAGTCTGTTTTTAGAGGTGCAAGGAACAGGAGACAGAGCCCCACAGGAAATTAGGTGCAGAGACCTGTAATCTGTGTTCTATTTTGCCTCTTTACTAGACCAGGTTCTCTCCCTGACACCATCTTTAATGTTGCTGTCTCTACCATTACTGTCGATTGGTGTGATTCAAGTTAACTCCATTTTAAAACTTCATTTGAAAAAAATAATTTACAAAATATCACTCTTCCTAAATTAATATGATTCCTTGAATAAAATAATTATTTAAGTTAGGCTGCACTGTGTATCAAAAAACTGGTTAATAAATAGGACAGATATATACTTCTCAATTTTTTTATTTCTTTATATCACCTTATTAATGAAAGAAGTTATTCTACATAACTGAGGAACTTTAAACAATTTTTTAAAATATTTTTAATTGACAAATTATAATTACATTTATGGGATACAATGTGATCTTTTGATTGTATGTATATAATATAGAAAGTTTAAATTGAGCTAATTAACATATCCATCTTCTTGCTTACCTATCTTTTTAATGGTGACATATTTGAAATGTACTCTCAGTTATTTTGAAATATACAATACACTAATATTGACTATAGTCACCCTGCTGTGCAATAAATAGATCTCAGAACTTAACAACTCCTCCCATCTGTCTGAAACCTTGTAACCTTTCATCAACAATCTCTTCATTCCCTCCTCCTTGCCCTCAGTCCCCACCTCTTGTTAACCACCATTCTCTACTTCTGTGAGTTCAACTTTTTTAGATTCTACCTGTAAGTGAGATTATGCAGTATTTCTTTCTGTGACTGACTTGTTTGACTTAGCGTAACATCCTCCAGGTTCATCCATATTGTCACAAATGAAAGAATTTTCTTCTAGCGAAAGGCTGAATAGTATTCCATCGTATATATATGCCACATTTTCTTTATCCATTCATCTGTTGATGGACACAGGCTGATTCCATACTGAGGAATTTTTAATCATTACTAATAGGATGAATTTTGAAAACTCAATTGATTACTGATTTTTGAGTTTTTGACTTTATGCAATTAAACAGTCATGAACATTCAGACTGGATATCATTTTATCTGTTATGAGTTATAGAAATAATACTTCTGTGGTTAATTTTGCTAGTCAACCAATTTGAAAGGCTGTAATTTAGTGGCAAGATTACTGTTATTTCATGTTACATTTTGAATCCTTAAACTGTTCTCTGAATTAGTTATCCCTGTTTTATAATTTAAAATAAACTTTCCTAGCTAAGCATTTGTTATCATTAATGTAAACCATTCCTTTTTGGGTTTTTCTCTTTAGAAGCAATGCGTTCACATTTTTTTCCTTTGTCAGAATTTTTATTTTTATAACTTGACCCTATTTTGCATTTACCTTCCAATTTGTTTTATCAGTAAAAATGTTTGATTTTTCATATGAAACCTTAACTAGCAACTCAGGGAGGTTTCTGCAAAGACCTAAAGAAAAAAAAATTGGGTTTTGTAGCCACAGGATGATGGATTGCCCGTTAGTTAAGAGAATCCTAGTTTAGCATAGACAGTGTATGTTCAATGTTAACATTGTGTGTTCAGGCAACTGTGTCTTAGATTACTACCCAGCCTAAAACTGTTCCATTTGAATTTTGTAGGGACATCTTATATATGGAGTCTGTTTGAAAAACAGTTTCAAATGCTGGAATATTGGGAGGTATCACTTCACCTGTAATTTCCTCGTGAAGCGTATTCTTCCAGAGATAACAGTTGCCACCACTGAGTCTACAATTCAGTTCATAGTTTCTCTCCATGTGAAAGAGCTCGTTAATGTTTCACCAAATCAAGGAATTATGTAGAAAAAAAGTACTTTTTATTATGAAATATACTGGAATTATTACTTTAATTATTTTAAGGTGAACAACAGTATAACCAAAAGTGTCCCACCTGTTCTGTCCTATTCGTAAGCCCACCCTCTCCCCTACAAGTAATCACTATCACTGGTCTGACTTGGATGGAAATTGACTCTTATGGACTTTTTTTTTTTTTTTAACAGTTTTATAACCTAAATATACCTTAAATCCGTAAACTCTGCTATATTCTTTAGTTTTGCCAGTTTTTTGTAATTCGGGTGAAAGGAACCATACATTGCGTATTCTTTGATGTTTAGTTTTTTTAAATTCAGCTCTATTTTGGTAAAATTCATCTGTGTGTGGCTTTATTAGTATTCCATTATCTGAATATACCACAAGTTTTGTTTTGTTGGCAGACATTTGAGTCGTTTCCAGTTAGTGAGTGTTATGAATAGTGCTACTATAAACATACTTTTACATGTGTTGTGCTGTATATAACTCCCATTTCTCCAAGGCCTGTAAGAGAGGAATTGCTGAGTAATAGGTTATGTATTCTTCAAATTCACTAGATAATGCCATACCAATTTGTAAAGTCATTTGTATTTTTACATTACATATTACAGATTTTTTTATTTTATCTAATATGGTGGGTATGTAGTAGGTAATTTTTAAAAACAAATTTGAATTACTTAACCTGAAGTCTAAATTCTCACATATGGAAGCACCACTTTAATGTTTGTTAATGTTTAGCAACCATAGAATTCAGGAATATTCTTAGGTTTTGAGAGGACCGAATACATGAAGTTTTTTTTCCCACCCAAGTATAGAAACCATCTGTGTGTGTGTGAGAGAGCAGGAGAGACAAACTCTAGATTCAGAAAGGTGGAAGCCAAAATTACAACTTCAGAAATAAAGGAATCTGGTGGGTAGCTTTATATCTGTAGCCAAAGAAAACCTTACTAACACTATACAACAGATTTAAACAGACTTACACAGTCACTGTCACAGCTGGAGAACTATACGTCAGATACAGAACAGAGCAGAATGCATACTTGTTACAGACAAACTGGCTTCAGAAGAGTCTGTGCTCTTCTTGCCCAGCTTCTTCTCCTAAAATGATCAGAAGAACCTTCTGAGAAATAGGCATGAAATATTAAGCCTAAAGTCTCTCCGCATGGGAAAAATGAGTGTTCTTAACCCTGGCTGCATATTATAACCAGATGGGGAGCTTTATGCTCGAACAATACTGATGCTTGTGCTTTGCCACTGACCAGTTACATCATATTAGAGGAGGGTGGACAGTGTGAGAAGTGGGGAGGGCAAGAGCATGGTGATCATTCCAGTTGTCCAGTGATTCCAGTGGACAGTTACAGCTGAGAGCTAATTGAGTTAATGTCACCATTGTGACTGGAAATGGCATTGCACTTATACTCAGGAATGCTTTCCTATCTAGAAAAGGCTTTAATAATCTTTATTAACATACTCAGATCAGCCTAGTTTAGGGGGAAACCTCTATGCAATACCAGGGGAATTTCTGTTAATAAGCTTTAGACTCACCTTCAGAGACTCCATGCCAAAATATAACAGAACCTGCAGATGCTGTTCTCTGAACAGCTAACCCACAGCACAAGGATTGTTCCCCAGTCAAGAGAGCCTGGGTGCATTTCCTCTCAGCACAGTATTCTTTGCAATTGCTGAGGCTTTATTGCTAAAGTATCTCCCAGGACTCTGCCATCCATTTCACTTTTTTTCTCAAGTCAATCTATAATTTGCTTTTGTTTTTTCAAATTACTGTTAAAAAACATTTTCATTGTTAGCACAGGAACTATTTTTTACTTGTTATTTTTATTTAAGGTTTGTCTTCAATTCTAACATTGGTTTATAGTTGTATATTAGCATATTGATTGATGTTAGTCATTGGAATTTGACCATCTGATCATCAACTTAAATTTCGTTTTCATGTTAAGCTATATAATAATATAGCTACGTTGTAAAAGTGTATGCATGTGAACTCTGTCTTTTCTATATTTTAAGCAAAATTACCTTTTTCCTCTGTCTTTTCTCCTCAGAATGGGCAACAGCTATATCGTCACATATATTTGGGTTGTAAAGAGGAAGACAATGTTCAAAAAAACTATGAACTACTTTATACTTCTCTTGCTCTTATAACTATTGAACTTGCTAATGAAGAAGTAGTTATTGATCTCATTCGATTGGCCATTGCTTTACAGGTATGCTTTCATAACCGTTCACTGCAGAAAACATTTTTTTGTAAAGCAGACACCATCTTTGAAGTGTTGTCTTTATCTAAGGACTTGAATTTTAGAAGGGAGGTATCTACTTCTTAATCTAAAATATACAACACTATGATCACATTCTTCATTGATTCTTTTTACATATGTTGAATGAGCATCAGCTTGTATGCTAAATATCCTTCAAGGCCGTAGGTATACTGTGATGAAGAAGAAAAACCAGTTTCTGTACCCTCATTTCCTAGTGTGGAAGATAATCATAGCCTAGTGGGGAAGATAGTCATTAAATAAGAATTACATCTAGGCAGTTGTTTAATTAGGGTTGCGTAAGTGTTATGTAATAGAAGGACGGTATGCAGTGGCTGTATATGCATATGTGTGTGTATATATATGAGAACAAGAAAGGTTTCCTAAGGAAGAGAGTTTAAGTTGAAAAATTTAACACTCTTGTAAATAAACATTTATTTTCCTTTCAGAATTCTTTTAGAAAATAATTTCTGATAAAGTGGCATTTTTGTTAGCATTCCAGACCACCTGCAGTTTTCCAGTATAATCAGAGAAAATGCTGGTAGAGCATAAGAACTTGATCTCTCTAATGTGTTTGTTTCTTATTAAAGGACAGTGCAATTATCAATGAGGATAATTTGCCAATGTTCCATCGTTGTGGGATCATGGCACTAGTTGCAGCATATCTCAACTTTGTCAGTCAGATGATAGCTGTCCCTGCATTTTGCCAGCATGTTAGCAAGGTAATGTATTTAGAAAAGTCCTTAAACTTGAATTTTGTACAACATGGCTAATTTTATTCCAATGATGATTATTTTTAACTTTGGTGATTATCAAATTAAGATAATTCTATAAAAATATTCAGCCAGTAAATTGAAACTACAGCTAAAACTGAGCTACTGTTTTTATATTTTCTTAGATGCCTGTTTTTTTATTAGAATTTTTTAATGTAGTGGTTGAATGGAATGTATGGTTTTCTTCTAGAATACCTCATGTGATTCGTTCTATGACGTTTTTTCCTTTGAGCCATTGTGAATCTTAGTATCTAAAGTTTCTTAAATTATACTCTTTTGTTGTCATTTTTTCTAAACTACTTGAGGCAGATCTCAAAAGTTGAATAACGAATGTGTGTCTCAGAGAATTGTTCTATGTCTTTCAAATATATTTAGTTTTCTTCAGCGGCAACTCTTAAATCGTGATTTGCCTGACTTAATAAACATTTCAAAGCCCCTAACTTACCTAGCAGAAAAAGCCCACCTTTAAAGACATTTGTAAGAGAGAACTTTATTTTTCTTAAATTGAAAGCACATCATTTAGTCCTTACTAAAATGTAGGCTTTTAGTGTAGTCTAAGAAACAAACTCACCCATTCATTAATCAAACATTTGAGTGAATATTTGATGCCCATCACTAAAGAAATAAATACTGCAAAAGCAGACTACCTCTTTGCTCACAGTTCATTGGAGGAGCCAGACCACACAAGTGCCTTGACACCTTCTACACAGGTTGCAAAGGTAATGCAGCAGGTGGAGGATGGTGATTTGTAAAGCGATTTCCAAAATAGTGCATTTGAGAAAATAGATATTCTTGCTTTATCATACTAGGCTTAATCAAATGTAATGTGTCATCATTTTTTGCTTTATATATTATTTTATTGTCACAGTTTTATCTGCTGATTTTAAAATTAATAGATGTGAAAACAAAATAAACTTTATATTTAGGCTGTAAACTTACCTTAAATTCAAAAGCAGCGTGATGCTATTTCTTATAAATGTTCAAAGTTTATTGTTTTTAAGCTGTTTTACAAAGTTTTTATATCAGGGTCCTGAGGGGTGGAGCTTTTGATTTTTATTTTTGAATATTTTTTCAGGTTATTGAAATTCGAACTATGGAAGCTCCTTATTTTCTACCAGAGCATATCTTCAGAGATAAGTGCATGTATGTTAATTCTTTACATTTTAAGGATGCAGTACTTATGTCATAAACCAATCAATAATAATTATAAAGGAGTAAACTATTGTAATAATTCCTGGTGCTTTACGATAATCTTCATTTTGTGTCTGTCATTTAATTCATTTAATTATTTCCTTTGTTATAAAAAGCCTTGCACACTGTGGATGTAGACTCATGCACAACATAGAGTCAATCTTGAAAAAATTTTTTAAGAATAAGAAGACTTGGCAGGGCACAGTGGCTCACGCCTGTCATCCTAGCACTTTGGGAGGCTGAGGCAGGTGGATCACCTGAGATCAGGAGTTTGACACCAGCCTGGCCAACATGGCGACACCTCATCTCTACTAAAAGAAATACAAAAATTAGCTGGACATGGTGACACACACCTATAATTCCAGCTATTCGGGAGGCTGAGACTGGAGAATCACTTGACCACGAGAGGTGGAGGTTGCAGTGAGCCAAGATCACGCCACTACACTGTAGCCTGGGTGACAGAACAAGACATCTCAAAAAAAAAAAAAAAAAAAGGGATAAGAAAACTTAGCCCACTTTTTAAAAAAATGTGGGATAGGTCTCTTAAATATAGCATATTTTATGTTCTCATATGTAAATGATCAAACCTTTAAGAGAGTACAGTATCCTATTGTAGACTTTCAGTAATAGGTAAAAATACTCATAATATGGTAGAAGAAAGAATGTATTGGGGAAAAATCAATGATATTTGCTGCATTATTCCTTATTCTCTAAAGAAAAGTATATATATGAATAATACTTTATTTGAACTTTAGCGCTGTAAAAGCAGTTTGTATTGAAAGCATCATGGTAAGATAATATCAAGCAGTTTGAAAGGAAAGTGAAACTTAGTGTGAGTGGCCAAGTACTTCCTAACACTTAGCTGGCTGATGTGGTTTTCATTAACAATCAGTGGCCTACATTTTTCAGTACAGTTTTTAATTAACATGACAATAAAAGCTATATTTAGTGTTCTTTGTGAGTTAAGGAGTGGAGATCAACAGAGTAATATAAGGCTGAATTCGCTATTGAAATGTTACTGGGAGAAGCAGCACTGCAGAATGGTTAACATATGGGACCACATACTATGTGTTTTTAGAGTCAAGTTCATTCGTTGCCTAAAATATACTGATTTTTCTCTTACTGACTACAGTTTATGTTGTGTTTATATTTAGAATATTGAGGTTTTTGCTCTGCAGTGTTTCGCATAGTAACTTATTTTTGCTCAATAAAATGCTGAATGATTGTTGTTTTGATGAATTTGTCAGGCTTCCAAAATCTTTAGAGAAGCATGAGAAAGATTTGTACTTTCTGACCAACAAGATTGCAGAGTCACTAGGTGGAAGTGGATATAGTGTTGAGAGATTGTCAGTACCATATGTACCACAAGTAACAGGTAAGAGGAGGATAATTAGAACTCTCACTCCGGCGACTGCTTATGTTATAGTAATTTTTTTTGTTACCCAATTAGCAGTAAAAATTAATTCTGATGTGTGTACTTACTATAGCCCAGCGATTTTCAAATGCTTAAGAGTATTTACTTCTGTTTTTAAATTTTGCTATTGAAAACTTTAGAAAATATCTAAGGACATAGATAGGATTTTACCATAAGCAAATCAAGTTTTTGAATATTTATTGTTATAATACGTAATATATTATTTTATTTAGTATTATAAAGTGAGATCTTTTCTTATTAAATGATACTCTACTTAAGTCATGGCAATTGGTGAAAATTGTTTAATGATATGTGATTATTGAGCTTAATGAAGCAGGCAACTTTTGCTATTTGAGTACAGAAATTGTTATACAATTTTGTTATGCAAAGAAAACTGCAAACTTTTTGAGTTAGGGATTTCTTTTTCTCTGTGAACTATATATTTCCTTCTATTTTTTCATTGCCTGAAATAATTCTGTTTGAAGGCAAAATAGCATAGTGTCTTGTATTCAATTTTTACTTTAAAAACTAAAATCAAAGAATTTGTATCTTCTCTCATTTTCATGTGATGACTATATAAATATTAAATTTGGTAAGTGAATTAGTTCTTTCTTTGGGGAAATCTCTGTTCTACAAGAGAACCATTTGATTTCACTTAGAAAGATTTCTGGATTAGTCACTACAAGTAGCACAGTCTTTGTAAATGGCTTTTTTTTTTTTAAATAACATGGATCCAAAATATATGAATTTAGGACAGTAATAGTTGTTCATAACAGTCTGAGATGTTAATGAGTGCTTTTCCATTTTCTTTTAAATTTTATACTATAAAAGATTGTGCTCCTCAGGAATTATTTGAGGAAATACAAGAGCTAAGAATAAAACATTATTAGTTATTTATAATTTAAAAGATTTTTTTAAAACGTTTAAAATATTTTACTCTTATAATTTGGATTTAGCTCTCTTTCCTTCAAGCAAAAAACCTCATAAACCCAAGCACAAGTACAAAGGTAAATCCAGTTGTCAGTTTGACCTGCCCTTTCCCTCACCTGTCTTCTAAGAAAATAGCTTAATAAAATGTGCCTTTTAGAAAATGGAGCCAGTGGCCTGCATATTTTCTATAATTATTAGTTATGATTTTCCTTTCTCTTCCTTGTAGCCATAGTTTATTTTTACCCCTGTTATTTCTTTTTATCCTGTTCCTGTAACTCTTAACAGTTTTTGATGAAAGCTTTGGCACTTTTTAAATTTTTAACAAATGGTCTGCACTTCCCTGATTCCTCCCACCCCTTAAAAAGATGTATTCTCTCATAATGCATCTTTACCATTGACTGAAATAACTCTGAATATTTTAGTGACTACTTAATTGTATAACTGCATAGAAAACTTACTAGATTTTTCTGATTTGTAAAGTCTGATACTTTAGTGCCTGTCTGTGGCATGTGTATCCTACCTTAATGCAGAAGCAGAATAAACAGTGATATTTTATGGGATACTGAATCTGTAATTAAATTTTCTTTTGCTGTCTATCCATCAGATAATCATTTAAAAAATGTGAGGAATTTAAGAACAATATATTAAAAGAGAAGCAGAACATGTTTAGTTTGTTGTGTATCATGTAATACCCGTCATCATCACAATAGTAGCTACCATTTATTACGTACTGTGTGCCAGGCACTGTGTTAAGTGCTTTATATTCATTTCTTTATGTAATCCTTATGATTCGGTGAGGAAGGTAGCATTATCTTTGTTAACAAATGAGGATAGTGAGGCTAAAATTGAATTAAATGGTTAGATTACACCATTAACTGCTTCTCCAGCTAGTTGCTTAATAAATTATTTGGTTTTGCCATTTTTCAGGAGCTCAAAGACTGTTCAAGCTCCAGAAAAATCCAGATTGATTTTTATCATTTATTTCTCAAACTTCTACTGATTGCCTACTACTTAATATATATCAGACACTGCTAGAACTTTCATAGGGCAGAAAGATGTTAAGATGCAATTTCTATCCTCAAAGAATACCATCTAGTGGGAAAGCAGATGAATGATTGAAACAATCAATAACTAGATCTAGAGAAAGAACGATGATATACCTAAAGTTTATTGAACTATTGATGCCTGGCATCATAATAATGTGATTGATAAATGTTAGTCGATTGTTATATTTTACTTATCTCTAATCAACCTAGAATTCAAATGAATAGTATATAGGCCTGTGCCAAGTACTGCTTTATGAGAGGGAAACAGTAGTATCCCCCCATGTGAACCAGTCAGAGGTACCAGTGGCTTCAGTCAACGCGTACAGCAGTTATTTAAGTATTAAGCGAGCACCTCAGTGTAGCAGCTGCTGTGCAAGCAAAAGCCGGAATGAACAAGATGGGTAGGTCTCTACTTTCACAAAGCTCCTAGTCTCTCTCAAATATACAGTTCACTTGAACCACAAAACACAGCAGATGATTTGGTATTATTCTAGGTGCATAGGAAGTAAGTTAATTCCATTATATAATTTTTCTCTTAAGAAGATAAATAACAAGGCAATTGTAATGTGACTGTACGGCTATGATTAGGGATGTTTAGGAACCTCTGATAGCACATAAAATTATTTAATCCAGGTTTGGCAGGCCAGAGATACCTTCCAGAGGAAAAAGTCTCTAAGCTGAGCTTGAAACAGGTGTTAGGCACGTGCTTCATATGGTAGAAACAACACATGTGAAGGAACGAGGCAGGCAAGAACAGGATTTGTTCTGGTAATTAATACAGAGTGAAGATAGACTTTAGGGAGTGGAGTTAGGAATTGTAAAGCAAGGTAAACTAGTTTGAACTCTGTTATAAAGGCAATGGGGAAGCATGAGTGATTTTAATCAGAGGATAACATGATGAGAGTTACATTTTAGAAATATTACTTTGCTTGTAGTTTTGCAAACTAGAGATGGGATGACTATTTTGTTGGCTTGTTAGTCATTCTTAGGAGAAATGAGAGTGGCTCATAATAAAGAGGCATCAGTGAGAATACAGAGTAGGTAGATTCTAGAAAAATTTATGAGAGAGAATTTATAGGCTTGTGGTTGATATCGAGAGACAAGGAGAAAGCCAGGGATTTTGTCCAGGTTTCTGGGTTGGGCAGTTGAATGGATGATGCAAACCGAGGGGACACAGGATTTACTTACCACTTCATTTGCTTGGCTTTTTTGTTTGTGTTTTGTTTTTCTAGAAGGGAGATGAGTAATATAGCTGGTGTATTAGTCTTTTTCCATGCTGCTTATAGAGATATACCCGAGACTTGGCAATTTACAAAAGAAAGAGGTTTAATTAGACTTACAGTTACACGTGGCTGGGGAAGGTCTCACAATCATGGCAGAGGGGGAAAGACACTTCCTACATGGTGGCAGCAAGAGAGAATGAGGAAGAAGCAAAAGTGGAAACCCCTGATAAATCCGTCAGATCTTGTGAGACTATGTATTCACTATCACGAGAATAATGTGGGAAAGACTGGCCCTCATGATTCAGTTACCTCTCACTGGGTCCCTCTCACAACACATGGGAATTCTGAGAGATGCAATTCAAGTTGAGATTTGGGTGGGGACACAGCCAACCATATCAGCTGAGTTCAAGGGAAGAAGGAAAGAAGTACCTATTTCAGCCGAAACTGTTAAGTAGTTTTGAATCTGGGGTGGTAGAAGGATAGAGTTTTTATTAACAGAAATGAGTTAGCCTAACTCTAAATGAGTTATCAACAAGATAAGCCTCTTGTTGAGTATCTTTGAAAGTGGAGCATGCAAGTAAAGTATCCTGTAGGCAGTTAGGAGTTAGAACTGGGTTATGTGTGAGGGTTAGGAGGTTATAATGAAAATTTTGAAAGCAGCAACATAGGGGATTTTGCTAAGGACTTCAGGGACTTTGAATTCTCACAGTGAAGGCATGGAGAGAAATAGGATGGAATGGCTTTATTTAGAGAGTTCTTTCCTGAGGAAAGGCCATGTTGGGAAGGAACGTAAAGCCCCAAAGCTGAAAGTCTCAGGAATGTGAAAGGAGAGTAAGGTAATGTTGGAATGTGAGTGGTAGTAGGCTCGGGAGTGAGAAGGCTCGGGAGTGAGAGGAGCTTCCAAAAAAGGAAAGGTCACTCGGCACAAATTGCTGAAGCTTCGGAGAAGTTGAGAATTGATTAAGGCCTGTTTCTGGATTTTCCTGGAAGGCGATTATTGATGGCCTTTGAGACAACACTGTATTTCCTTTTTGTTTTCAATGATTTTGCCACTCATTGACCCCTTTCCTGCCTCATACCTCCCTTTTCTTTTTTATTATTGGCTTCAACATGACTTTCTGCAACCCCTCAGCTTTTATAAATTAACCCAGAAATTCTTTTGTAGCCTCCTTTGAGAGAGGCAGGCTATAATTCATTCCTTATTCTTACTTCCAGTGAGACCTTGAAAGTTAATCTGCCTAGATGCTAAAAGCAGATCAGCAGGGATGACCACATACTGCCTTGTAGCAATTCCATTGATGTCTTTATGTTCAGTTATTTATATCAGAGCATGTGATTATGAAGGAAAAACAAAAAATACAGGGTCTAGGTTAACTCAGCAGTAGCCACATGCGGGATATAAAGTATTCTCATCCTGAAAATTCTTGCAAAACAATGTGTCGTCCTGTTTTGTTGCAGTTTAGTATGTATTGATTCTGTACCTTCACGCTTCATGCAGTAGAACCTGAGTGACTTCTGTTTGGTACATAAAAAACCCAGAGTCTCACTAAATTTTGTGCATGGATATATAGGTCAGACATCAGTGTACATAACTGTAGTAGTACAAGGCTGAGGGTGATAGAAGGAAAGTTCGTTAATAACTGGTAGTAATTTTTTAGCTCAGAAGAAAGAGGGACAAGCAGAAATAATTGGAGTTATATTTAACACTTTAAGGAAGCAATGTGATGTTCAAATAGGCTTTAAAAGATAAGAATCTTTATAGAGAGGAGGATGGCAAAGAAGGACAGGTAATGATGTGTTTCCAGAAAGCAGATATCCCACAGCATGCTCAGAGATTAGAAAACGGGCATCTTTGAGTTGAACACTAGATTAGGGAAGGTTGAAGTTACTGTTGGTAAGATCTAATTAGAGAGCCTAGAATGTCCTTTTAATTCACAAGCCGTTGGGGAGCATAGCTTGGGGAGTTATGCAGTTAGTGTCTTTTTAAAAAGCTTAGTTAACATGGTGGTGCCATACAGGTAAAATTGTCATTAGGATGGAGTGAGTTGCTGGTTCTCAACTAAAGGTGAACTTTGCAATCTTGGAGATGTTTTTAGTTGTCACAACTGGGGTGGAGAGAGATGAGATAGGCCTATTGGCATCTAGTGCATAGAAGCTAGGGATGCTGCTGAACATCTTATAATACAAGGGATAGCTTCCCACAGCAATAGTTATTTGGCCAAAAATGTCCATAGTGTCAAGGTTAAGAAACCCTACTGGGTTATGCTATAGTAACAAACAACCCCAAGTTCTTAATGGTTTGAAACAGTAAAGATTTATTTATTGCTTGGACTTGCTGTATATAACTATACATCATCCACATTCTGTAATCCAGGTTGATGGAGCTACCACTGTCTGGCACATTACTCATACTTTATTGGCCAGGACTTGTGACAGAACCTCTCCTAACCACAGAGAGGACAGTAATTGCAACCCTCTCACATGTCCAGGAAGGGACAAACTGTAATATTGGCTAACAGCGTTAGTTACAACCATGGAAGGCTACCTTGGAGTAGAGGAGTAGTCAGTAAGAGAGAAACCAGTTTCTCACTGATTGCTTTTAATTCTTCAATTTTTGTCCCTTCAGTAAAGTAAAATCACAGTATATACAGAATGGGATTAGAAAGATGGAGCACAGGCTGGGCACGGTGGCTCACACCTGTAATCCTAGCACTTTGGGAGACTGAGGCAGGAGGATTGCTTGAAGCCAAGAGTTCGAGACCAGCTTGGGAAAAAGAAAAAAAAGAAGATACTCTGTCTCTACAAAAAATTAAAACAAAAAAACTAGCCGGTAGATTCCCTGTCTTTGCTGTTGTGAGTAGTGCTGCAATGATGAGCATATATGTGCACTAGCACCGGAACAGAAAACCAAATACCACAGTTTCTCAGTTGCAGGTGGGAGCTAAATGATGAGAGCACAGACACATAGAAGGGAACAAGACACACCTGAGGTCTGTTGGAGGGTGGCGGGTGGAGAGAGGAGAGCATCCAGAAAAACAACTAAAGAATACTAGACTTAATATGTGGGTCATGAAATAATCTGTACAACGCACCCCCATGACACAAATTTACCTATATAACCTGCACATGTACCCCTGAACTTAAAAGTTAAAAAAAAAAATTAACCGGGCATGCTGGATACCTGCCTGTAGTCCTGGTACTCAGGAAGCTAAAGTGGGAGAATCACCTGAGCCCAGGAGCTTGAGGCTGCAGTGAGCTGTGATCACACCACTATACTCCAGTCAGGATGACAGAGAAGAGATACTGTCTCAGGAAGAAAAAAAAAAAAAAAGAGAGAGAGAGAGAAAGATGAAATGTTGCCAGATGATGCAGTAATTCTGTGCTGTTAGGCCAATTCTAGACCTGAGCTTCCCTACTGTTTTGGGGGAACATTATAGGTTCATCTGGGTATTGTTCTCCTTAGCTTTTCAGGTAGCTGGCCAGGCCCTGGGGTACTCTGAACCTGCAATATGAGCAGGTGCTTCCATTTATCTCTGTGTACCATGCATGTATTATAATTTAATATGTCAATAAGGTAGAAAACCTTGGGAACTCCACATTAAGCAGTGAGCTGCATTTGTTTAACAATTATAATTAGAACTGAACATTATCTATTTTAGAAACAACTCTACTCGTAGTATAGAAGGTAGAAACATACTAGGAAGACTCACATGAAAGCTCTCCTAAGGGTTTAGTTAAGAAAAGATGAAGATTTTGAATGACGGCACTCTTGAAAATAAATAGGACAATGTGGAGATAAAGGTGGTTTATTTAGAGATGTGGAATTGGATTTAGAATATGCCAAATAGAGCTGATTAATAAGAAATTAGAAATGTTGAACTCAGAAAATGAGGTGTCAGAATCCTGCTCAGTCACCCAAGTATTTATAGAGCACCCACTAGTTACCAGCTGTAACCCTAATAGTATCTGGGAACTCTCTGAGAGAGTTAGAGGTCTTGGGATGTGACCTAGGTGAATACATTTCTTTTAGGACTGGGAGTTAAACAGTAGCCAACTTGGCATCATTGTCACCCTTCCTAAATTCTCTTCTGCATCGTAGAGGAAAAATTGGGAGCTATGTTTTTTCAGAATCGAAGACTGACAATAAAAAGCACTCAGAAAATTTTGCAAGTAGGAGAGGAGAAACTATTATCATTGACAGTGTAGCATTCAAATGGGTGGACATCAGACTAGAAGCTTCTAGAAGCTTCTTGATAATTACCATCTCCATGCTGCAAACTGAGACTATCTGATTGCTAACCTTAGTCACTGAACTTTCCAAGGGTTGAATAAGCCTCTAATTGTATAAATTGGAGTATACAAAGTGACTTCCTTTTTTCAGTTGTAATAATGATTATTTGATATTTTCCCAGCATCCTGTACTCTCCATCACACTTTTATAATTTGTGTAATTTTATTTTGTATTTTTGCTGTTGAACTATAAGCTTCATGGGATGTGTAATATCTATTCAGCAAACTGTCCCTAACCACTTCCTAGATTCGTTGAGTATTGAATGCTAAAGTAGAAAAGCAGAAATAGAAAAGAATGTACGGAAGGACATTTTGATCAACAAATTCAAATTTTCATGAAGTGGTTAAGCAGAAATGGGCCAGGAATAGGTATCAAACTTAGTGATTTGAGAGACCATGGAATTTTATTAAAAAGCACTGTCAGAAGAGTGGTTGGGGTTGGCATTATAATTGCAGGACTTCAGAATAGTCAGTAGTGAAAAATCAAAGCAATTTGTTCAGACTATACAAATGAGTTGGGGCAGAAAAGTAGCTTAGCTAGAGCACTGAGGTAAAGAGAGCGTCTTTCTGGAGAAGTGGTCAAATTATAAAGTAAAGAACAACAGCTGATGGAGATGAGTGAATGGATAATGCTGGAGAAGGAGATATTAATTGAAACAGCAAATTCTTTCACTGCACAAATTGTAATGCACTGTAAACACCTTTAGACATTGCTTCCCGAACTATCATCCTAGAACCAGAGTTAGTTAACAGCTTTCACTGTTTCATGAAAATAGTAGAGATATACGGGCAATATTATATTTTCAGTTAGGCTAAATATATTCAGTTTAGATTATGTACTTCCTTCATTTGGTGTTACATTGACTTGCTGTTTTAAATTAAACTGTTCAGTAATGGTTGTTGATGTTGCTGTCCTAAATGCCCCTTTCTGAAAAATAAAAAACAATTAACCTTATTTCAGTTCACCCCATTGGTTTTACTTTTTAATCTGCTTCACAAAATGTAAAAGTCTGAGAACTCACAACTTTATGTATTTAAAAGGAACAAAAAAAGACAAACTGTCTTAAATTTTTGTCAGTGTTTGAAATCTGAAGTAAGTAGAGTTTATAAATGACAACCAACATAACATTTCTAACAAATAATGGGAGGAAAACAATTTTATTTTAGATGAAGATCGGCTTTCTAGAAGAAAAAGCATTGTGGACACCGTATCCATTCAGGTGGATATTTTATCCAACAATGTTCCTTCTGATGATGTGGTAAGTTACTTTAAGTTTATGGTAGAGTACTGTCTTGGTGAACATCATTTAAAAGAATGTTTTGCCTTCCACACTTTCAAACAGGAGAAAATACAACTCTAAATTATCCTCAACTAAATTATTAGTAGAAATTAATCTGATTTAGCTTTGAATTTATGTTATTTTACTGAACTCATTTCAGCTGTCTGTAAAGATATATAAACCCAACATTATATGTTCTATTATCAGATTTCACATTATAATTTAGTGTAATTCAAATAACTGTAAAGTGTAAGTTTTTTGTTATGTTTTGTTTTGTTTTTTGTAGGAAACTTTATAGAAGGCCTGTCATTAAATTAGTGGGCCCTCTAGAGCCTGCTTATTTTTAAAAGTTTAGGAAATATAAATTACAGAAACAGAACTATACATCCTCACATGAAACCAAATGCTCACTACCTTTAAAAGATTTTAGGCCAGGCGCGGTGGCTCACACCTGTAATCCCAGCACTTTGGGAGGCCGAGGCGGGTGGATGACGAGGTCAAAAGATTGAGACCATCCTGGTCAACATGGTGAAACCCCGTCTCTACTAAAAATACAAAAAATTAGCTGGACATGGTGGCGTGTGCCTGTAATCCCAGCTACTCAGGAGGCTGAGGCAGGAGAATTGCCTGAACCCAGGAGGCGGAGGTTGCAGTGAGCCGAGGTTGCGCCATTGCACTCCAGCCTGGGTAACAAGAGTGAAACTCCATCTCAAAAAAAAAAAAAAAAAGATTTTAAAACTTCATCTTTGAGGGAAAATGTTTTAATCATTTTGGATTGTAAATATAATGAATTGGATGTAGCTTAAACTGTGTCAGTGAACTATGTTCCCTGTATGGACTGTGACTTATTTAAAACATCATAGATTTAATGCTGTCCTCCTGTTTGAAAAGAGCACAAGAGTGTACCTTTCTGAGTTATAGGGGAAAAAGCAGCCATTATTCTGTAGGACTTATTCTACACAAATCACCAGAGAATTTTTTCACAGTCAAGTAAAAATGCCAAAATGCCAGCATGTCAAGTCATCCTCCACCTTGTGGTTTATCCATTGTTTGCCTTCCTAGGTATTTTATTATTTCTCACTGATGTAATATGCATAATTAAAAGAATATCCATATAGGGAAAGGAAGTTGCCTGAATTTATGCTTTCTCAGCTGCTTTCCTACCCGCTTCCAATTCCTATTAATTTATTTGTCTTCAGGTATTAAAACTATTTGGTGGCCAGAGTACAGCCAACCGATGTGTTTTCTATGCCATTCAGCTTCCCATTATGTAGAATTTATCGGTTTTATTAAGAAATTATCAGCCCAGCATCAAGAGTAATTGAAGAAGTACTTAGTGTTCATTTAGAAACTCAACGTATTAAGGCTGGTTTAAAGTTCCTTACCAATTTAAGGCTTGATAACAACCTTTCCTAAATTTACCTCTTCAGATTTATTTAATTTATACACTCCTTGCTAGTAAGAAGAGTATCTTGCTAGTTCTGTCTTGTAATGATTATGAATTTGCTGTTATTACCTTTCTGGGGAAGAAGTTCATCCAGAGCCTTAGTTTATAAACTTAATTTTGTTAAAAGTACAATGTGTTTTATTTTCTGGTATTTTCACCTTTCTCCTTTTGTTAACTATTCTTATTTCTTTCAAAACTATACAGAGAGCACTTGAAACTGTTGGAAAGAGTCAGTCTATTTTGATAAAATCAACTGAAAAAACATTTGCATAAAGACTCAATGCAGGGGAAAGATTCTTAACATAAGTTTTACATTAAAAGTCTGTAAATATTTGTATTAACTTTTAAAAGATCCTGTTGTTTTTCATTTACTGTAAGTCCTAAGTCAAATATGCCTGACACCAAGCATCTGAAAAGTTGAACAGTTTAGTATCACGTTTAGTTGAGCACATTTGGGTTTCAGACTCATTTACCATTGTGGAATCTGCTTTTGTATGTATATTAGAGATGTTTGTTCAAATACCAGAAGACAGAATAATACCACCTTCTAGACTAAAACTAATTAATTACTTTCATGTGATGGACAAGAAAAATTCACATCAGATGGATATTCGCCAGTTAATAGTGCAGCCAAATATCAAACTATTTTCTTACAATAAATCAGATAAGAGAATTGCTCATAAAAATTACTTTTTTATTTGATCAAAATTATTTATAGTTTTATATGTATAATTCTAGTTTATCCTCATGTATTTGCTTTTGCTTTTTAAACATTATTTTTTTAAAAAAGAGAGAGGTTGTTTAGATGGTGACCATAACCAACTTTTGTTTCCTTAGATAACCTCAAATTGTTACTCTAGCCTATTGAAATACCTGTCCACTTGAGATGTGCCAGTTCTAACATTACAATTCCAACCTCGGCCTACTTAGAATCATTTGGTGAACTTTTTCTAAAAATTGCCATATATAAAAAAAAAATATATATATATATATATATATATACTATTATTTCTTCTAAATAATATATCATTTCTTCTAAAAATGTGCTGATGCCATAAAATGCATTATTAACGTTTTTATCATAAAGCAGTTGATTTCATATCATTTACATATCTCAAAGCTAGAGGGAGATTTGAGAGATTCAAGGTAAAGGGTATTTTTAGAGATTATAAATTGCTGGTTGACTTTAGAGGAATACTTCCCAATGCATATATATGCATACTACACATACACACACACACACACACACACACACAAAATAGATGTACATACATATATATGCATACTACACATAAACACACACACACATAAAAAATAGGTGTACATACACATATTTTTAATAATGATGCCTAATTTAAATTAACATATTCAAGAAGATAAATGACTAAAATAGAATAGAGGCACCTCTGCCTCCTGAGATAAAATTATCAGCTTGACTAATTATATATGCATAATGGACATGAGTAAAACCTGAAATCACCACACTAAAAAGTTGTAAGCTTATCGTTAGTGCTTGGTTATTTAAGTGCAGGGATAGGATGTTATATATATTGAATTTTGAATATATGTTAAATTTTTAATACAAAATTAAGTCACCGGTTGACTGCAAAAGATTGTTGTTTATTCTAGAGCAAATAACAGATCTTTGTTTTATATACGTGTACTCCTGCCTTTTTCTCCAGATATAACTGGAGAAACTTGGGTGTATGCTAGCATCTAGTCAATATTAGTCACACCCTGTGGTGCTAGGTGCTATCAAATTACTATGATATTAGTGGAAATGACATACCAACTACTACAATTAGAAAAAGATGAATGGCAGATTTTATGTAAGCCCAAAGGCATTATATAGTCTAGGTAATAGATCGTAGGATAAAGCAAAAGTCACAAATTATAAAAGGAATGTTGAAATTCTTTTAGAATGATGCCTTTGCACCACTTCTCCATAACTCCAACATAACTGGTTTTTCCTCTAGAGTTGGAACAGATTATAGTTTGGTAGATCACCAAATAATGTGCGTAGCTTATATTTGCCAGCTGTGGTGTATAAAATGTCAATCATTAAATGGTAGCATAAAGCAGTTTTAAAAAAAAAAAGATTCACAAAAGGGAAGAGTGAGAGATAAGATTGAAGCAAAATTATGTATGTAATTTGGTAGGAAGTAGGTAAACGCCGAAATTTAGATAGTGTCATTATTAGAGTTGTGCTTTCATAAAAGGAATCTCTCAAGTGTGACTAGATTAAATTGGAAAAAAGAGACTAGAGGTAGAGGCCAGTCAGGAGATCCTTGTAATAGTCTATACTTGATGGAATGACAATCTAGAGTAGCCAGGCTAGAGGTAACAGAGATGGACAGGAAGGCAAGAGTACTCTAAAGTAGAATGAATAGGACCAAGAAATGACTTAAAGGGATTTAAAGAAAGAAGATGTTTAAAAAAAAAAAAGTTGACACTGATGGCATGACTTGGGGGTTCTTGATGCTAGGAAGCTGCATCATAATTTTCTGAATTAAGGCAAAGGGAGAAAAAGAGAAGAGTTAGTAGGGTAAGGTACTTTAGCTCTTATCTGAGATTGACAGGTAATAAGTAAAAATTATACGTAATAAGAATGATGGCCTTCCAACTTCTCCCATGTTCTTTTTCCTATACTGTAGTTGTTTATCAAAAGTCAGGAGCTCCTAGCCAACTCTAAGAACAACAGCAAATTCTTTTTTTTTCACTGAGTACTAGAATGCTTATAAGTACAACCAGCCAGAGCCTAATCTTATGTCTGCTCCAAATATCTAGAACAAAACAACTGAAGATTCCCAAGTTTAATCTGAATTCAACTAGAAATATGAACCCTCAGTAGCAAAACTGAGGGAGTGGAACTCTTGCTGCTTGATTTCCAGCCAGCTAAAGCCTTTGATTTAAAGAGAAGCTAAGGTGCAGAGGATGAAGTCTTTTGCTTTCGTTAGTCTTGCTGCCTTCTTAGACTTAGCAACAGAAGCTCATGAGCTAAAATTAGGGATGTCAAGAGTTCCAGGCAAGTACTTATGTATCATTTCTTAATTTTTATTTAGACATACTATAGGAACTGGATATATTATTTCTCCTGAAAATGTGCTGATGCCATAAAATGTATTATTGACTTTTTTGTCATAAAGCAATTGATTTTATCCCTTTTTACATATCTCAAAGCAAGAGAGACTTCGAAGATGCAAGTTAAAAGGATAGTTTCAAAGATTATAAATTGGTAGTTGACATTAGAGAAATACTTCCCAAAGTAGTGGTTCTTAACTTTTAAATCATTTAAAATCTTAGTTTTACTTTTGACTTGTAAACTGTATGTGGTACCAAATTTATAGAGGCTGTAGAGCACTTAGTTCTTTTTTTATCACATGGCTAAAAATGTATTTATGTGGTGTAATCTCAGCCTTCATTATCTCAGGGCATTGTTTACTTACAGCACAGTGTTCAGTCAGTGGGACTCAAATCTTCTTGTACATCACGGTACTGGAGACTGAGTTCTGTAATTCAACGGTGGTTTTGTTGGGTAGGGTATGCTAATTATTCCAGTCTAATGCTAATCTATAGACTTATTTTGGGGAACCACTGCAGTAGGCCATTGTTAGAACCAATGAAAAAGTGGAGATTATTTGGTACTGTGGCATATAATGACAACTCAGACCAACTCAACAAAGAAAACAAATCTGAAAAACTTCTTAGATAACTTGTAACTAGGTAAAGGTGTGATTTATACTGACCCTTTTTAACTCTGGATTTCACTTAAAATTACTTTTCTCTAGGTCAATAACACGGAAGAAATCACTTTTGAAGCATTGAAGAAAGCAATTGGTGAGATATTTTGTACTTGTCAGTACTGCCAATATTTAACTTATCTTTATTTGCTACTTTTTTCAATGACAGAGTAAGCAGAGGTGGCATTACAAAAACAAAACCAAAAAAAAACTTGTTGATTTCTATATAAATATATCATTTAAACTGCATTCCTTAGGCTTCAAAATTCTCTTGTCCCATCACGGTCATATTCTTGAGTAGACACAATTATAGCAGTGATATTTAAAAAAGACATTTATTAATTTACTTTCTCACGAACTTTGGCTAGACCGTACGTCATCATAAGAGCAAAACAATCCCTTTTCAGATTGTGGTAAATAAATGGAAAAGGCTACAACAACACAGTTCCAAAGGACCCCATTAGTATTTCAGTTATTCCACTCAATACCAAGATTCAAGTTTAGCAGGTATTTTATTTAGTGTCTCACTTGTGCAAGGGCATAGTTATATAAAAGAGTCCTTCAGGAAGGACCTTGAAGTAATTCGACTTGTAGGAAGCTCCTGTACCCTTGTTGTATTTTGGTCAGAGAGACAAAGGTATTCTATGAAAGAGAATCTTACACTATAGAGTTTTAACCCTTAGTTTTTCTTTCGTGTGTGTACCTTAAACAAGACATTTCACTGATTTTTTTTTTTCTTGTAAAAATAGCCCTGTAAATTGCCCTTATTTTTGGATGATATATCATTAGCTCTTACTGGTCATTGACTGGGTCTGTGAAATTCTGTATTCCTTTTAATGAGTATAAACATTTATACAGATACCAGTGGAATGGAAGAACAGGAAAAGGAAAAGAGGCGTCTTGTGATAGAGAAATTTCAGAAAGCACCTTTTGAAGAAATAGCAGCACAGTGTGAATCCAAAGTAAGTGAACAAATGGTGAAGGGATTGTAGGTGGACTATGGTTTTATCGCAACTCTTACTTGGTTCTGTTGATTTGACTAAGTTCCAAGCTTTAGTCAAATCAACAGAACACAGGAAAATATATCAGACAAGGACTGAAAACTCTGAAGGCATATCTGTGAGGCCTAAATAATTTCTTTGTGTGATGTAAGCTGATGTAAATGGTAGGACTGTTTCCCCAAATTAAGTGTTAGTGATTGTTATTGATTTGATAGCCTTTTTTGCAGTGGTTTTCCATGACCTTGCTGCAGGCATTTTGTTTTGTATGTTTGTTGATTTGGTTTTAACTGAGACTAGGAAAGGGGAAAAAAGATAACCCTTATATTAAATTCTAATAGATAAGACAGATTAAACCAAAACGTTAAAACATTGTATACTTAATAATTAATCGATTAGCTTAATAGTCACAGTTACACTTTGTCCTTTGTTTCTTAAATTACATTGGTATTATTACAGGTAGCTACTTAGAAAATAATCCTTAACATTTTTTTCTTTTTTGCAGGCAAATTTACTTCATGATAGACTTGCTCAAATATTGGAACTCACCATACGGTAAGGGTTTTGTTATCACAATAGCAATACACACACGAACAGAACCTGTCAGACCCCCATGAATTTGCGGTTCATTATTTTAAGGTATTATGTTTAAGTAATGCTTATTATTTAGGATTAACATAAGATCATATAGGTAATCCTTTGCTTACTAGTCATTCTGTTTATTAGGCAGCGTCTGATACCCTTTCTTGACTAGTTGTCTCCTAGCTTTTCTAGCTTCTTTTTTAGATTATTTGTTTCTTCCTGATTATCTTATAAGGACATCTGGGTAATCTGAAAGACCCATATTCTAATCTTATGTTTAATTAAGAAAATGCTCATATTGAATCATTTTGACCTGCAAAACAGTGCATTTTAATATGTCAGCCTCATTGTTCTTTTCAGGGCAGTAATAAGTCTCACTATACAGATGGCTCATTTCAATTATTGAACTTTCCTTTAGCTTTTTTACATAATGTTCATTTGAGTTCTGTTGTGAATTATTATGCCCTTTGATTATCCTCTGTCTATACATTAATAAGAAATGTAGCACCTGAAGGAAGGAGAGGCAAACTATAGGTTCCATCTAAAGAAGGAATTTTCACATAGTCTTATACTGACTTCAGTGTGGAAACCCACCTTTGTGACAGGTGGCCAGTAGAGATAGCTATGCTTCTGGAAATTTTTTCTATATCAGCTGTATCTTTTATATTTTTAACTTGATTAATTCTGTTTTGCTTCAACCCTGTATTATATTAATATTAGAGAAAGATAAATGCTCTAGTCCACTTGCTTTTTTATTTGTCTTTTTTCTGCTTTCATAAGCAAGGCACATTTTTGTCATTATACATCTTACTCTAGACACTTCCCCCCATTCCTGCTACACTCTCTAAGTTGAGAATCACTCATTTACAAAATTTAAGAACAGAAAATCAGACAAAAATATTCAATATGTGCTAGACAAGAGGTCCCCAACCCTTAGTCTGCAGACCTGTGCTGGTCCATGGCCTGTTAGGAGCCAGGCCTGACAGCAGGAGGTGAGCTGTGGACAGACAAACATCACTGAGCTCCACCTCTTGTCAGATCAGCAGGCATTAGATTCGCATAGGAGCAGGAACCCTGTTGTGAACTGCTCAGGCAAGGGGTCTAGGTTGTATGCTCCTTATGAGAATCGAATGCCTGATGATCTAAGGTAGAAGTTTCATTCTGAAATCATCCCTGCAACCCTCACCCGTGGAAAAACTGTCTTCCACAAAACTCGTCCCTGGTGCCAAAAAGGTCAGGGACTGTTGTGCTAGACTTAGGATTCAGTTAAAATTGCTGGGTATGGACATTTACTTCTTTGATGTCTAAACATCAAACATTTGATACTAAATATCTGCTGTGTACTTGATCTTATGATCATGGTTTATATCTGTTACTTCTGTTAATCCTCGCCATAGTCCTGAAAGGTAGGCAGACGCTGTTTTTTTCATTTTTCAGGTGAAGACACCAAGGCTTAGAGAAAAGTAAAATAACTTGCTGAAGGTCATACAGCTAGTGAGTGGCAAAGTCAAAATTCAAACCCATAACTTGATGTTCTTAAAAGGAATGTTGCTAGAGATCACCATGTTACTTTTAGTCAAACTAACATAACTATATGAATTTAATATTTTAGAATAAGTATTATAACTAATTTTGTTTCATTGGTACCACAACTACTACTAATAGCGTTCATTGAACAGTTACTACTACTAATTAACATTTATTAAACACCTATGTTGTTCCAAGCACTGTGCTAAATGTATTTTTTTATTTAATATCTGCAGCAGATCCTAACAAACAGATAGTGATGATTCTCATTTCACATGTTTATAAACAGAGATACATAGAAGTTAGGTAACTCATACTGGGTCACCTACTTAGTACGTAGTAGCTTATGGAGAAAGTAAACAGACTTTATAGAAATGTGCCTTCACAATTTTCAGGTCCTGTCTGATACATTTCCTCTTGTTAATTTGTCTCACCCTAACCATCAGACAGAGGAAACAGTTTGTATTCCCCATAAAAGAAACAAAACACACAATAGTACACTTCATTCCCACTGTCCTTTCCTTTTACTCTGACCTGAGTATGGTTAAAAACACAAGAAAGGCAAAGAAGCAGTAATATACAGTGAGAATAAGCAGGCTTACAGATAACCGAGTTATTCGAATTAGTAGAAAAAGCCCTTAAAACACTATACTCCCTCACCCGCTCCTCAGCCCCACACACAAACATCAAAGAATTTAAAGGACAAGATACATATAGTTTGGAGAGAAATATGTGTGGCAGCTGCTTATTCTCACCCTAGTTTCTTGTTTCTTTGCATTATAATTGCAAATTTTAATGTTCCTCTCATAAGAGTACTAAAACATAATAAGAAAACAAAAATGCAGAAAAGATATAAGATTTGAACCATCTCAATCAATTTAAGTGACCTTTCGAAAACACAATACTAGCCAACTACAGAATATGGATTCTTTTGAAGTGCATATACAATATTCACAAAATAGACTAATGTGGGACTATATAACAAGTGTAAGTAAATGTCAGGAAACTGACATGTTAAGTCACCAGGTTGAGTATGTTCTCTCACCACAAAAGAAATTATAATTCATTAACACATCTAGAAAAATTTCAAATATTTGGAAATTAAAAGATACTCATAGGTCAAAGAAGAAATGACAGAAGGAATTAGAAAATATTTTAAACTGAAAACACATACCAAATTTTGTAAGATGAAACTGAAATAGTGCTCAGGAGGAATTTTATATCTTTAGATGCTTTTGCTTGCCAAGAAGTAAGTTCTAAAAGCAGTGAATTAACAACTTCTGGTAAGACATTAGAAAAAGAAGAGCAACAGAAGCTAAACTAAGCATATCAGAAGTCAGTGAAACAGAAAATAGTCAAACAATAGAAAATATTAACACACCTAAAAGTTTGTTCTTTGAAATGGTTAATATAATTGGTAAACCTCTAGTAACAGTGTTAAGGAAGATAAAGAGAGAAAACACAGATTACCAATATTACAAATGAAAAAAGGATCATCTCTATACATAACAAATAAATATTATAAACAATTTTATAAAAATAAATATAAAAATTTAGATGAAATGGGCAAAAATCATTGAAAGTCACAACTTACTAAAATTGACACAAGAAGTAGTAAAACATCCAAATAACCCTACAACTGTTGAAATAAATTTGCAATTTAAAAGCATCCTGCAAGAAAATGCATTTAAATTTACTGCTTACTTTGATCAAACGTTTAGGTAGGAAATAATATTGGTTTCATACATATTCAGGAAACAAACGAGGTTGAAACATTTTCTAACTCATGAGGCCAGCATAGCCTTAGTACTAAAATAAGACATAAGACAACGATATTTTAAGAAAAACAAAATAAATACCCCTCATAAATATAGTCACAGAAATCTTTATCAAAATATTAGCAAATGTATAAAACCGATGATATGGATGGCCTAAATAAATGGGGTCACTATGAGGAAAGCAAGATCAGTTTTACATGAGAAAATTGATCAGTCAGCAAAATTCACCACATTAACATAATAAGAGAGCAAAGTTGCATGATTACACCGGTAGTTGCAGGAGAAAAAAAAGAGTTTGAAAAAGCTCAATGTTCATTTAAGATAAAAATTATCAGAAAATTAGAAATAGATGGGAACCTAACCTGATAAAGAGTAATTAAAAAATCTATTGCTGATGTTATATATGATGGTTAAAGTCTGATGCTTTTTACCTAAAACTGAGGACAAGTCAAGGATGTCTACTTTCACAGTTTAAAAAATAATTATATGAAATTAGTATCTGTGCATTTATTAATTAAAATGAAAACATTCTTAACAATGAGGTAATAAATTCAAAGAACTATGTAAGACTTACATGAAGAAACTATACATTTCTGAAATATGCTTAAGAATATTTATATAAATGGAAACTAATCTTATTCTTGAATCGGAAGTTAATATAGATATCAGTTTTCTGTAGATTGAGCTATCATTTTAGTAAGATCAACTTTTTTTGTATTTGAATAAATGATGCTAAGGGCAGTGTGAAAGAATCCACATACAAGAGCAATCAGGAAAATGCTGTAGGAAAAAAAAAAGGAGTATTTGCCTTGCTCAGTAGGAAAACATATGACAGATCTTTGGTACTTAAATCAGATTGGACCTGTATATGGGTAAGTAGAAGAGAGGAAAATTCAAGTATAGAAGGTAACTGTGGTAAAGGTAAGATTTCAGATTTTCAAGGAAAAGGGTTACTATTCGGTTAATCTGGTTTGGACAACTGCTAAATACTATTAACCGGTGAAGGAGGGTGCAGGGAAGATTTCCACTTCACTTCCTTTACCAACTTAGACAACTCATTATTTAGAAGAATACATAAAAACACTAAAATTAATACAGGAGTATTTTTTGTAAACTTGATTTGGGAGAAAAGTTTTCTTAGCATAACTCAAAAACTAAAAGTTATAAAAAAATAATTGCTTGTTTGGGTAAGGTTTTTAAGCATTTGGCAGCAAAAAAAGTTGAGAGTTAAATGATCAATTGGAGGAAAGCATTTGTTTTACATGACAAAAGGTTAGTTTCCCAAGCTGATAAGAAAAAAATACCTGAGTAGAATTAGAGGCAGTGGGCTTAAATAGGCAGTTTATATTTTCCATGGGTGGGGGTTGGAGGGATGATTTCAAGATGAAATACTTACCATTAATAGTAACATAAAAATTAAAATAAGAATGAATTCCCTTCTGCCTCTCAGATTGGCAAAGATTTTTTAAAAATATTTACTGTATCTAATAATTATTACAATGTAAAAGGTACAATGAAGTGCTGAAGTGTAAATTGCTGGTATTCTGACAATATATATGTACCAAAGTCAAAATTTTGAATACACGTTGATGCAGAATTTCTTTTTGTAAGACTATAAACCAAGAAGGCACCAGTCAGAATAAAATTATATATGTATAAGAATAGACTTGTGAACATTATCATAATCAAAAATGGAAATGAACCTGCCTTTGTCCACTGGATTAAATCAAGTATGATATATCTATATAATGAAATACCATAATGTCATCTAAAAAGATAATATCTATATACATGAAATAATTTTTTACTAATGAAACAAAGCAGCTCACAAGAACAGATAGAGTATAATCACATTTAAAATTGTAAATACATATTTTCCAAGGAAAATGCGTGCTTAGACTTAAAAACAGTTTGACACTACTGTGGTCTGTTTCCCATACAGCCTTGTAGCTGGCCAGCAACTACAACAGCATTGATCTCTGCAAATAAGGAGTCCGACTTTGATATTTGCAGATAGCAGACAGAATACTCAGTGAATGAACAGCCTGTAAGTACATCTGCTGACGTTGCTTCTTTGTTCTTTTACAGTCCTCCTCCCAGTCCATCAGGAACGTTGACCATCACTTCTGGGCATGCCCAGTACCAATCTGTCCCAGTCTATGAGATGAAGTTTCCAGATCTGTGTGTGTACTGATTGGCTCATGAAGACCTCAACATATGATTTGTAAAGCCTAAAAATTAAGGCCAAGCTGAGCTTTCAGGGTTTACTTAATGTGTATTAACATACTTCATGAAAATAATGATGGCACTTATCTTTATCCAAATGCTTGGCATACTGTATTAGAAGTTTTGGAGCTATATATAATTTTGAGTACTTTCGAAGATAGATTTATGCCATGTTAATTTGCTTTGAGGCTCCTGTTGCCTTTTAAAGTTTGATTTCATTGTATTCCACTGTTAAGTAGTATATTTTAAACTTTTCACAAAGGTAATTTTTTTAAAAAAAGTAAGCCTTCAGAGGATTGAGACTGTATAAATTGTTTATTTCTTAAACATCTACACAACTGCTTAGATGTAGAAATTTTATTGTTTTCTGCAAAGGCAGATACATTCAAATATATTCCTAGTCCTGGGGCTGCAAAACTGTTTGGTGGCTTTTTGTCCCCATACTTTAGATAAGCTGGGATAGGCACCCCGCTATTCATTTACTATAATAATATGTGATAGGCATTCCTCATCTTTTTCACAATAATAGGACATCTGTTGTATAGCATTCCTTGAACATGACCCTAAAAACGCCATACTTTAAATTGTCTGGTTCTTGTAATACTGTGTTTCCTGCCAAGAGTTTGATCATTCTGCTTGAGAGCTGTAGAGCTTACTCTTGGAGTACCAAACCGTGCAATATTTTTACATCATAAGATGTATTAGTTTACAGGCTATGCTTTGAAATTGTAGTATTTTGCTGTGGCTCCATGAATTAAATGAGATATATATTTAGTACAGAAAAAAAGACATTTAAAACAGTTACTAGTTCACCTGTGAAGAGTCTGTACATTTTGATTTCCATTAAGAGCACATTTATTTACATTTGTATATTGTGCATTGTTTTAAATCCTCATAGTAAAAAAGTTCTTCAGGTGGAACTTTAATTTGTAAGATTTGAACTGACTTGTATGCATCTGTGTAGAATTAGCTAGTTATATTTGAAAAGCTGCCTGTGTTTTAACAATCAAGTGTGCTAAAGTTCGTCAATTTAAGCTACTTTTGATTTCACCTACCAAGATCACAGGTGCACTCTACACATACACTGACAGCCCCATAACATTAGGTACATCTTAGTGAATTTTATCACATGGTAAAATGAACAGCTTTCTTTGTAACTCATAAAATTCTCTTAGGACATTTTTATAAAGTCACCTGTTTATAGTTCTATCTTTTCAGATTCCTTTTTTTTTTGGTTTTTTTTTTTTTTTTTTTTTTTTTTTTTTTTTTTTTTTTTTTTTTTTTTTTTACATAAAACAGCCTGCATACCAAAAACTGTAGCCTAGAAAACAGTTTAATTTTTGACTTTTGTTTTTGTTTAAAAAATTGCAGTGAAGAATGGGATGTTTGTGTTTATGGTTATTTGGGCACCTTTAGTAGGAGCAGAAAAAAGCAGGGAAATGATAATAGGACAAGCATACTTGAAAATTTTGAACGCTAAACAAAAGTGGAACATCTTGAAAACCAGTCTAGTCATTGAGACCTACGAAATGACACTGAAACATCCTGGGCTGCTTATTAAATGTGGATCAACAAGACTTGTTTCAGAATGACGGCGGAGTCGTTGCCACTGGAGGACTGAAGGGCCCTGTTGCAGCTGTCACTGGAACTTTGCCTCTTGATCAGGTAAAACGCTTCACCAATCAATAAAGCCAAGTTTTTTTGTTTTTTTTTTCCCCCCTTTTTTCCTTCTATATTTTTAAAGAAGGATGTTAATTTTTGAATATATATTTTAAAAAATCTAAGCAGGGGGACATGCAAAAACAATCATCATCCAGTTGGATGTCATTTTATAGATTAACACTGTGTGCTTTTGTATGGAAAAAATATATATAATTTAATAGTATAAAAAATAAAATATATATTCATTTGCACTCATGTGAAACACAAACTTTGCTCTACAAAATTTCATGTTTCTTAGTGATTTTAAAATGCATGTATTGCATGTAAAGGAAAACCGTGACAATTGATGTTTATTACACCTTTACCTTGGTCTTTGTTGATTTGGGTTTTGTTGGGGTTTGTGTTACTGTTTTAAAATAACAGTAGGCTTCTATATGGATTTCTGAACTGGTCTTGTTGACAAGGATTCCCAAGAAATGGATCTTTTCACTGGCTGACTCCCATGTCTGCAGGAGATTCTGCAGGAACTGGGTATGCACACGGTGTTGTAGCCAGTTCGGGTACTGAACATTTAGGATTTGTTGAAGTTCACTGTAATGCTATATTTTTGTAAATATATAAAACTCTTAATAAATTGTTAATCATTCCCTTTTTGCTGTATAGAGTTGTTTATATCACTTTTTCTTTCATGACATTGAACAGTTAACATTTAAATGTTCTTCCCGTACTTGTGTTGTCTGTAACCACTTATATACAGTTTTGTTGTTAATGGAGTTTACCTGAATACATATGCGCGCACACACACATACTTCCTTAATACTGCTGAACTCATTATCTTTTAGAATAATAATACTACACTTTACCAGCAATTAACTTGTCTCTACCCAAAATGTCTGAAAATGGAACTAATTTGTCTTATTCAATGCTCATATCTGTATTAAATGTAATGAAGTTAGTTTTTTAAAATGTAAAAATTCACTGTCCAATTCATATGTGAGCAATAAAACATAAATCAGATTACTTGTATATAAGTTCATTTTTTATAATAGCTATTATTACATTTAATTAAATTTATTCAATATTTGCTTAAATTAAAAATGAAGAGCTTCTTTTGAGCGCAGTAGTTCAAGGCTACAGGGAGCTAGGATATTGGCACTAGACTCCAATCTGGATGACAAAGCACAACCCCATCTCAAAAACAAAAAACTGAAGAGCTTTAGTAAAAATTAATTTGCCAAATGGATTCATTCCCCTATACATGGGAAGTATGAGAACGATAACTGCTAGTCATGACAAGATGTAGTAAGGTAAAGTTCATAGTGTGTGCTTGTGAAAGTGTAGTTGCCATCTCTGCATCAGTCTTAATGATTGTCTTTTCAATTCTACCTCCTTGCCCTATAAATTACACAAAGAGGCCAGGCATGGTGTTTCACACCTGTAAAGCCCAGCCCTTTGGGAGGCCAAGGCAGGTGGAGCACGAGGTCAGGAGTTGGAGACCAGCCTGGCCAACATAGTGAAACCCATCTCTACTAAAAATACAAAAATTAGCCAGGTGTGGTGGCATCTGCCTGTGATCCCAGCCCCTTGAGAGGCTGAGGCAGGACAATCACTTGAACCTGGGAGGCAGAGGTTGCAGTGAACCAAGATCATGCCATTGCACTCCAGCCTTGGTGACAGAATGAGACTGTCTCAAAAAAAAAAGCATCTTTATATATATTTTATGTATAAATGTTTATATTTTTATTTATATATATTATATATTTTTACATATATATAGTATATATGTAAAATATAAATAAAATATATTTTAATATATATTGTAAGTATATTTTATTTTGTAAATGTATTTTGTAAATATATATATTTATATTTTATAAATGTATATATTTTATATATACATTTACAAAATGTAAAATATATGTAATATATAATTATTTTATTTACATATATATATATTATACATATATACTCTCAGTACCCTATCCCCCCCAGTTTGCTTATTCTACCACTTACAAAGATGTGCATCGTAGCCTGAATGCAGTTCAGGAACCTCCTTTGTTAGCAATGTAGCATAGCAGTGAGGAACTCAGCCTCTTCACAAATTCAGCACCATCACTACCTTACTGACCTTAGGCCAATAAGTGAACTTTGATCTGTGAAGTCCTCATCTGTAAAATGAGTATGGTAAGTTCTGCCCTCCAAGGTTAGCTGTGAGTAAGCGAATCACTTAGAAGAGTTTCCCAGAGCTATGCCTACATGACACACAGAGCAAGCATTCAATAAATGATTAATGTAAGGCCGGTTGCCTCGTCGGGAGGTTGGACACACCCACCTCTGCACCCGGCACCAGGCTCTGCACTCTGGCACCTAGCTCTACCATATGGCTTCCCTGGAAGGCTCTCCCACCGGAAAACCCGCTCAACAACCCGCCAACCAATAGTGGCACGCCCCGTCTCAATCCCGCTCCCCTGGAGTCAATCAGAGCACCCAGCTGTTGCTCGTTCCTCCTAGCCATAAAAACCCCACGACCCAGGAAGTTGGTGCGACTTCCCTGGCCCCTTTCCCCTGGACCATGGAACCTTGCCCGTGAGTTGAATAAATTGGCATTTAATTTTCTTAATGCTGGTCTCAGTTTCCTCATTTTAAACTCGGCAATAACCCTTACAATTAATAATAATCATCTTTGTGTTCACTACACTGGGACATAAGCAACCTGGGCGGCTCTTAGCCCTGTAGTCTTAGGTCAGCCATTCCAAGTTTCTGAACCTGTTGCCATGGGTATAAACTTAGCACTCTGCCATCCTGTGTACTTTCCTTCCAACTCTAAGTTGCTGTGATCCTGTTACCTGTTCTCTCATAAAATTATTTATCTCAAGTACCAAGTTCAAATTAAGGAAAGAGCAGAGGCAAGATGGAACATCAAACTCTGCCCACTTAGTATTGCTCCAGTCAGCCTTTTACCTGTACCTGGAATCAGAGGCAGACTATCAGAAAGGCTCTGTCTTAGCCTAGGTTTTAGCCTAGGTTTCTCTAAAGCAGAGCCTGAGACAAAGTGTGTGTGCAGGTATTACTTTGGGAATTGATCTATCATGGAAGCAGAAATAGCCAATTAGGAGGATTTCTTGGTTGTCTATCACTTGAGCTCCCAACTAGCCATTCCACTGGAGATTCTAAGGAGTCTCATAAAAATAATCTCAAAACTACCTGGGGGATGAAAAATTGGGAAAGTATTTATTATTTGGCTTCTGTTCATGGTTGAAGGTGGCCCTGTGGTCATTAACTCTCCCACATTTTTTGACTATATGCTTGAGTGCTGAGCTGTTACCCCAGGTGTCCCATTCAACCCCATCTCAAAAACACTTCTTATTCTCAGGGAAGTCCTGTGCCAGAAGGCAGGAAGTACAGCAGTACAGCAAGCAGGCGGGCGTTGTCATTCCACCCCCATGAGGCAGTTGGAGTCTATGTGGAACTAGTTATCACAGCAGGGTCTGAAGGGATAGTTGAGGACTAGAGGATGTGAAGTCAAGCAAAAGATGTCCAAGATAGCACCATCTAGTCTGGTATTTAAGAACAAGACTAAACCTAGGAGCATTTGGTTTATAATTTCATGTTTTCTCCATCTTGCTCACTGGTTGTGGCTGTAACACTCCTTCACCATTCTATTTGCTGACCCTTTGCTTTTCTTATCCTACTTTATTTGCATAACAGTTATAGCTGTGCACTTGTAGAATTCCTGATTCAAGAGACTTAAGGGTTGAAAGAATCTTAGAGTCAGGTTCATTCAAAGCTTACATTTTACAAATGAGAACAGTGAAACTCAGACTTAAAGCTGACAGTACTCATTCACCAACTAACTTTAAACTAGTAAACTTCTGATTATAACATTAACTTTAGTATATCTGAAAATTAGGGATACCACTCCATGCCTTAAGATAGCAAGAAAATATAAAAAGTAATCATCTCAAATATGGTAATTATAAGTCATCTAAGTGAATAAAGAAATTGAAATTAGGGATGCAAGGCATTCAACTCAGTCCACAGTTGGCCCTTTTTAAAAAGAAAAAACTTTACTGAGCTATTATTCACATACCACAAAATTCATATTTTAAAGTGTATAAATTCACAAAGTTAAGCACTGATCACCACTATTTAATTCCAGAACACTTAAGTCACCAAAAAGAAAACACATATTCCTTACTAGTCACTCATTTTTCCTTCCCCACTGGGCCCTGGCAACTGCATTTCTCGAGTGACTAATGATGTGGAACATCTTTCCAAGTGCTCATTGGCCATTTGTACATCTTCTGTGGAGAAATATATATTCTGAATCTTTCACCCATTTTTTATGGGGTTGTCTTTTTATTGTTTTTACATTACAGTAGCCTCTCATCCCTAGTCTGCACTCTTTCCAATTTTTTCTTTTGCTGCCAGATTGATCTTTCTGAAGTGTGGGAAGCATTACTTAAAATACTTCTCAGACTTTTCTATACCCAATAG